ATAGCGCAGGACATAAAGTTGGAAGGTTCATTACAACCTGACAGTCATAATGGATCAATGAGAGTTGGACCTGCGGTCAACGCCGGTCCTCGTTTTCCATCACTGAGATGATTTTCTTTTTAATGTAGTCCATTGCTTTATTGGCATCCAGGAACTCCTTGTTTTCCTCCCCATGAGAGATGCGAAGCCATGCAGGAAAAAGCAAGACATAGCGGACATATCGTCGGTTGTGAAGAAGCCTCTTCACCTCCGGTCGAGCCCTGGCCACAGCCGCCGTGTAGTCAGATGTGATAATAATCAGTACCTCCTTAAAACGAAGATGGCCGCAGCTCCGCGCCCAATGCAATATTTCCACACATTCTTGATAATAGTGCAGCTTAACAACAATAACCCGCGGCTTATCGCCTGACTTGTTCCCACCTGGAGAGTGATGTGCTCGGTCAACCAGTGGCACTTTTTCCATCTCTAGAACATCTGCTAGCAGTTTAGCCACTGCTGAAGTGGAGCTGGATTCTGGCGTCTCAGGAACTCCAATAATCCGCACATTGCACCTTCTCATGCGCCCTTCCACATCGTCACACTTCTTTTTGAGCCCATCGACTTTTTCTTTCAGTTCCAAGATGGTGGTGTGTAGAGTAATAACCTCATCGGACTAGGTTAACAAGCCATCCTCCACCTCTTTGACGCTCTGCTTAAGGTGGTCCAGGTCGACACGGAGTAGCATTGTGCCGTTAGCCACTTCCGCTCTTACCGCTTGTAGCTCTCCTTTAATAAGAATAAATTCTTCAGCCAAAGCCGCTTTTTTTTCGGATTTGATCACAGCTGTGAAATCGGTTTTTATAGCGCCAAGAATGTCAGACTTCAAGGAGAGTGTGTCCACCTCGCCGCGGGAGGGAGAAAGTGAGGCATTTGGTGATTTTCACCTCATGCCTCTCCTGTCACCCGGGCAACGCTGATTGGACTCACCTGCAATGAACTGGCTCATCAGCGACTGGCTTTATAAGGAAGGCCTGAGGATCAACTCGTCGCTGAAACATCAAACCAGTTTGGGTATGATCTCAGCCTTTGAGCATCTCTCTGAGTCTTGTTTAAATCAACTTCGTGTTTTCTCTTTGCCTACTTGTTTCCATGTTTTAAAGAAACGCTTTGGAAAATCCTTGGATTCCCAGTTACTCGGCCTGCCTGTCCACGAGCCACTCACCTGTCCTTGCGCTGCCATCCCGCCTCCAACGAACTTGTAAATATACTCACCTGTAAATATCCACCCTGGAACTGATCCACTCTCCTGTGCTTCGTCTAAAGTCCTCACCAGTAAGCAGAAAGTCAGCTTGTTATATTTGGATTCAACTACCTATTTACTCATCTCTGCAACCCTCCGTTTTTCAGGTCCCACCCCTTCCCCTGCTCCCGCCTTCCTGTTTTAAAATAAATCATATATTTTTTTGTATCTCAGTCTCAGCCTCAGTTTGTCTCTCAGCAATTGCTCACGTGACTCTCCTGCTATCCTGATAGTATGTTTCAGCCAAACAACATGTTAGTGAGCAATACTGGGGACAATCAGACGCCCGACACATTTCTAGCCCAAGAGGATAAACTCAGTAAACATGATCTTATGTTAAATCAGTTATTTCAATCACATCGTGAAACTATTACCATACTTAACCAAGTATCTCAGAACCTTTTATCCATAGGTTCTCAACTTAACAAAATGGCTCCGTCCCAACCAGTTCCTTCTCCAGCTCCCGTGACACCCACTCCAGTTTTTTCCCCCCCGAGAACCTGAACTCAGACCATCTGAATTTTTTGATGGTAAAGTAGATCAGTGTGGGGTTTTTTTGTTACAATGCAGACTGGCATTTTCACGCTCCCCTTCTCTGTTTCCCAACCACTCTGCTCAAATATCCTATATCGTCACATCTCTCAAAGGGAAGGCTTTAAAATGGGCTCAAGCCTTTTTGTCAGCACATTCATCTGAAACCGTTCGTCTGTTGCAGGGAAAGTTTCATCTAAATGGGATGCATAAAACTGGAGATGTGATGCTGGGGGGACTGTTTCAAGTTCATTTCTTCTCTGTTTTTCCCGCCCTGTCTTTTAACTTGGAGCCAGAATAGCTTACCTGTTATGGGTGAGTTAAACAGGGACTTTGTAAAGGAAACAACTCGTCTTTTGCAATTTATTTCTGTTTTCATAAATTGTGAATCTTGTTGATTTAATAGTAATAATTTTGTATTGTTTGTGTTAGTTTTGATGTTTTAGGATTCAGACAGACTCAGACMACGGCCTTTGCTATCGATGAGATCAACAGAAGTTCCAAGCTGCTGCCCAATGTGACTCTGGGGTTCAGTATGTACAATAACTGTCTCACTCTGGGAATCGGATTTCGTGCAGCCCTGGCATTAATCAGTGGTCAAGAGGAGGAAATGATAATAGATTAGAGTTGTGTATAGATCCCTCCGGTCATAGCAATGGTGGGGGATTCTTCTTCTACTCGTACAGTTGCCATCKCCACTGTTGTAGCTTTGTACCTAGTACCCATGGTAAGTTTTCTGCTCCACCACCCAACATCAATCTTCTTTTTTTTCATCTCTAAAGCTCACTAACATGAATCTTAAAAGCTGGTCAATTTTTTAGCATTTCTGTAAAGCTTGTTTATTGCTCAGGTGAGTTATTTTGCCACATGTTCGTGCCTCAGTGACCGTCAGACGTTTCCATCCTTCTTTAGAACAATTCCAAGTGATGCTTTTCAGGTAAAAAAAATTGTGTTGAAAAAATAGACAGTGTTAACATAAAAATACATATGTTCCCTTTATGTTTCTTGCAGAAAATAACTCCAATAGTTTTCCAGTTAAGTAGATTTTTCACTTTTTGCCTCCTGTCTCAATGAACTCAGGTCCGAGCTATGATTCAGAAACACTTCGGCTGGACTTGGGCTGGGTTGTTGATCAGTGATGATGACTATGGTCTCCACGCTGCTCAAGCCTTCCAGTCTGATCYGAGTCTGTCTGGTGATGGRTGTCTGGCCTAWGTAGAGGTTTTGCCCTGGGAGAAMGACTTAATTGAACTGAAAAGGATTGTGGACACAATGAAGCAATCCACAGCTCGAGTGGTCATTGTGTTTGCACACGAGAGTCTGACTATTAACCTCATGGAAGAGGTGGGTATTAAAAAAGTAGTATAATGTTTTTTAAACAGTAAGATTATGTTGCTTGATTAGATAGACTAAGAAAAAATACAGAGCGATGAGCACCTATGAACAATGTTTTATTGTCAAAGAGAGATTTTGACTGTGAAAAGCAAGAAATAAGTTGTAAAATTCATCAGTTACTTGTGTTCTGCTGTGTGAAAAAATAATCTGGGGACACATTCAAAATCTAACCAGGTGGTGAGGCAGAATGTGACAGGCCTGCAGTGGTTGGCGAGTGAAGCGTGGACCACAGCTGCTGTGCTTCAGACCCCCCACCTCATGCCGTACCTGGGTGGCACAGTGGGTATAGCCATTCGTCGAGGAGAGATACCGGGCCTCAGGAACTTCCAGTTACAAACTCGTCCTGACTTACACCACAACAACAGCAATGAAAATAGCATGGTGAGATATGGTTGTCCTAAAATCTGTGATTTTGTATATACAGCGGGTAAAATAAGTATTGAACACGTCACCATTTTTCTCAGTAAATATATTACTAGAGG